CACTGTGGGCGCACAGATGGCGGCGTTAGGAGGGACAGCGGTGATTGACTGCTTACCCTTGAAGAGCGGACTGACATTCCAGATGGAAATAGGGCCGAGGCTGGCAAACTGGCCGAAGGCAAACTCCAAAAAGAAGAGTGGCAGCCCCACAAAGATCAGCATTAGGACGTAGGGGAAGAGAAACGCACCTGAAGGAGGAGGAGGAGGTAAAAGAAGATGAAGAGAGACCTGTGAGAGAAGCAGGCTTCACTTTTAGGGCGGCATCCAAGCTTTTCAGCAAAAATGGCTGCATTCACTGAGACAAATGGCTATACTAAAAAAAATACTCAAAAAGCTAGAGGTTAACATTGAAATACACATCTGTTATGGAGACAGGTCCAGTCTCAGCTTCTGGATTTCCCCTTTTTTTTATAAGTGCAGTAATGTGCTAGGCATGGCAATACAAAATGCTGATGTACCAGTGTACGGCAGGACCTATGTCGGAAGCCTCGGCGCATAGTACAGGAAGACTTCGCAGCCATTAAATCAGAGTGGAGTGGATGGGCAACCTCATCAAGAATGCGATTAGCAAATTGCTTGAACGCTTTAAAACGTCGCTGTATTATAATATCAGCTAAAAAAACATACGAAAAACCGGGAACTGAAGAGAGCATACGGTGGATACGTTTAAAAATCAACAAGTCTCTTTTCAAAACAAGGTTGTAAAAATGACGGGAGGGTAGTAGAGAATGAAAGGGAGTATGCAGGCGTCCATAAAGCGTCAGATTAGGACTTTAAGTGTATGATAGGAATGTAACCAACGGATGTAATATAAAAGTTTACGAATCTTAATGAAGAGAGTTTCAATATGAAGAGTAAATGAATGATTAGATGACAGAGTAACACCGAGGTATCGGAAACAGAATACCTAGTTGGGCAGGGTGTCTAAGGATTCAGGACTGGGAGAGGGTCGCAAACGCACTGAACTGACTTCTAATTATTCCATAGCAGACTATTGGCTAACGACCATGCTGAAACATGGTCCAGATCATCTTTCAGAACGTGGACGTGTGTCTGACGT